TCATGCCGTTGACTTTGCCTGTTTTACTGCTGTGACTAGCTGGTGAATCGTAGGTCTCTTGCCCATTCACGATAATTGGTTCTTTATCCAAAATGGCCACTGAGGTCACTAAACTCGTATTGGGGTCATCTGGGTCAAAAGGCAACGGATAACCTCGGCAGAGTTCAAGGTCCACACTGGCACCGATGGGAATGGACTGGAAGATTTTCACAACTTGCGCGTGTGTGTGCCCCAAAACGCAGGTGTCGTTCACGCTGACAATTACATCTCCTGCAAAAGGTAAGAGTTTGGGGATTAAAAAAAACAGTACGCAGAAAATCTACCTCGATATCTATAATAAAAAAAGGGTTATAGACTAATTAGACGGAACATCCTTCCGGGCATCATTCCGGATGTCACCAGACGAAGCTGGGGCCGTAGTGAAGCCCGGGCTCCGGGTGCCTGCCGGCGGCGGCTGGAGGGAAGCAGCCCGGGTCCCAGGTGCCAGAGGGAAGCCAGTGCTGGCAGCCGGGGGAAGGAAGGCCTACTCTTGCACGAATTCGTGCATCGGGACTGTAGTTATGATATAAACGCCTACCAACAGGAAGCTGATCTGAAATTGGATTTGGGGGTGGCATCGTAGGACACAAAGGGACTACTTCTATCACTTATTTTAATGGCTAACAAGGCATTTGTTCAGCACCAGTGTGGTTCCTGCCTGTGAGAAGATATGGTCACTGAAAGAACATTGGCGCTTTCTTCTAACAAAAATCCTTACTGCAGAAATCCAAGCTCTGAACCCATCTATTCAAACAGACCTACACTCTCACAAATCACGGCTCTACTCCACTCAGTAGCACCCTAAGAGCTCCCCGAAGGTGACATGGCCTCACAGGTTTCCATCTCCACCGGGAACGCATGTACGGAGTGGAGGAGCCGACACAGAGGAGGTGACTAAGCCCAGAAACCCCGCTGCTGTTTGGTCTCGGGTGGTGCCAGCAGCACCGGCCACCTGCTGCCCCACCTGTTTCCATCTTGCCGTCCAGCGCAGCGGGACCATCCAGGACGAGGCTCTTGATCTGCAGAAACTCGTCAGGTTCGTCCCCTCCGACGACCGTGAAGCCAAAGCCACGGCTGCTTTTCCGCAGCTTCGTGTGAATGAACTTGCCTTTCAGTTCAGAAGGGTTTCGTGTAAAAAAGGGTTTGCCTAGATTAAAAGAAGAAAAAGTAAAGGAATGTCAGGATAAGTAAAAAAGGTGAATAAAGTAGGAAATGCTACAACTTCTAGGTCATCTCCACCCTCCTGTGCCGGGGCACTGGGGTACACAGGTGCCATAAGAGAGTCTCTCCCAGTTTGAGGAGGGGCACGTGGTACATGCACACGTCAGCATGAAGCTCTGAAGGGAAACGCAAGAGCAGGAGAGAGGGGTCCGTCACCCGACCCACGTGCACGGTTTCGGCTCATGTGCTGTGACAGCGGTCACGCTGCCACGCGGCCCTTCACAGAAGGCGGAGTGGACTTTTCTTTCTGTCTTGTGTTTTGTTATAGTTTATATTTGGCAATACAGCTTCCAATGTGTTGCCTCAGGCTTGTTTTCCACTTGTAAAACCAATTCATCAAAATCTTTAGCTTTTAATCAAACAGAAATCTCACTCTGAAAATACATAGATAATACTAAGAAACATACTATGATCATGAATAATTTTATAAAATAGTACCATCACTGTTTTCAAAATAAAGAGTTATAATTTTACTTTGATTTGAATTCTAAATTAAACGAATTTTTCCTATCAATTTGCGTCTTTTAACATTTTGTTGAGTAGTCTGGACATGCCCACTGCTAAAATCTACTGTTTTAAAAAAAGTTTAGGGGTGGGAAGTGAGCTCAGTGGCAGAGCACATGGTTTGCATGTATGAGGCCCCAGGCTTGATCCCTGGCATAAGTAAATAAATAAAGTTTAGAAGTGGCTTGGAATATTTTAAAAAATACAACAAAATTTGCCGAAACCGTTTTGGCTCAGTGGATAGAGCGTCGGCTTGCGGACTGAAGGGTCCCAGGTTCGATTCCGGTCAAGGGCATGTACCTGGGTTTCGGGCACATCCCCAGTGGGAGGTGTGCAGGAGGCAGCTGATCGATGTTTCTCTCTCATCGATGTTTCTGACTCTCTATCTCTCTCCCTTCCTCTTTGTAAAAAATTAATAAAATATATTTTAAAAAAATACAACAAAATTTAAAAACCTAAACTAAGCAAAATAGTTACTACAAGAGCCATATAGCTCCAAATTCAGTTGTTTTATTATTTTTAAAAATATATACTTTATTGATTTTTTTACAGAGAGGAAGGGAGGGGGATAAAGAATTAGGAACATCGATGAGAAACATTGATCAGCTGCCTCCTGCACACCTCCTACTGGAGATGTGCCTGCAACCAAGGTACATGCCCTTGACTGGAATTGAACCTGGGACCCTTCAAGCCACAGGCCGATGCTCTATCCACTGAACCAAACTGGTTAGGGTCAGTTGTCTTACTTAAAATAAAAAGGTATGTAGCTAAATAACTTCCAGATATGCTACCTAAGGTTTTATTGAATTTTCTTGATAGCATTCATAAATAACATCTTGTAGAGTAACCAAAATTTCTGTGTTTCATTAGTTGGGCATTTCTCTATAATTTAAAGATTTACTGGAATTTCTCTGGTTATCCCAAATAGTGGATATAATTCAAGGCCCAGATTCTTCAACTCTCCTAATTATAATTCCCGTCTCCAGTCCTTGCTACAGCTGCCCCATGTGCCCTATTTCTCTTCTATCAAAAATGTTATTTTAAAAAACCAAAACCACAACAGGCGGATATGTCTCCCTAGACCGGCATGAGAGAGCCTGGCACCCAGAAAGAAAGGCCTTTCTCAAAAGGTCTCTGTACATTCATACAATTTATAACGGCGTATTTCAAAGGTTTCTGGCTCTTAAAAAGCTCTTTCAAACTGCCTAGAGCAGTGGTTCTCAACCTTCCTAATGCCGCAACCCTTTAATACAGTTCCTCATGTTGTGGTGACGCCCAACCATAACATTATTTTCGTTGCTACTTCATAACTGTAATTTTGCTACTGCTATGAATCGTAAATATCTGATATGCTATATGTGTTTTCCGATGGTCTTAGGCGACCCCTGTGAAAGGGTCGTTCGACCCCCAAAGGGGTCGCAACCCACAGGTTGAGAACCGCTGGCCTAGAGTCATAGGAGTGCTCCTCGACCTCCTCCCTGGAGCCGGCCCTGGCTGGCTGGGAGTGGACAGGCGGGCTCTGTCCCAGGGCTACAGGAAGTAAGGGTGCAGCAGGACTCCCTATGGCAGGACTCCCCATGTAAGATCATCTGCCAGGCCCCAGGAGGCGGGTGTCCATGCAGCCAGGGCTGTGGGGAGACAGGTGCATGGCAATCATCAGCTGGGAGCTGAGGACAAGGGAGACACCCCCTTGTGAACAGTCGGCACCCCTGAGGCAGAGGCAGAGGCTGCTAGGGAGCTCAGAGCCCTTAAAGCTTAAGGGGTACGCTCTGCAGGGACCCCAGGAGCCGCACCCCCTCAGTGAGGCTTCCTGGTCGCCTTAGGAGAAACTGCAGGACCCCCCAACATTCCAAGCCCCCTTTCCAGCTTCATTTTGTTGTTGTTAATCCTTACCCGAGGATATATTTCTCCATTGATTTTCAGAGAGAGTGGAAGGGAGGGGGAGAGACAGAGAGAAACATCAATGTGAGAGACACATCGACTGGTTGCCTCTTGCACATGCCTGACCAGGATTGAGGATTGAGCCTGCAACGGAGGTATGTGCCCTTGACCAGAATCAAACCCAACACCCTTCAGTCCGCAGGCCAATGCTCTAACCTCTGGGCAAAACGGGCCAGCACTGCCCAATACAGTCTCCCTCTCACTATTGACCTGGTGCTTTGGCTCACTGTCCCCAACCCACACACGAGGGGCAGTGCACGTGCACATATAGCCACCAGGTAGCTGTGAGCTTGGTGTGGCCTCTGCTTGATACCCAGCGCGTAGAACACTGTCCTTCTCATTTTACCTGCTCCAAAAACTCCTGCTCAATGAGTGAATGAATGAACAACAGCTCAAAGAAATGAGATTTAACTGTCTTTCAGAAGGCTGAAGGTCTTGGCAGGTGTTTAAGCTTTTTACCCTTATTATAGGTGCAGTTAAAATGTGAACATGTGTCAGTTTATCTGAATGAATTTTTTAAGCTATCAGCATATTCTGAGCTTAAAATGTTTTCAACGTAACACAGCAGGAGCAGAGCACTGCCGTCCTTTCCCAAGGCTTACCTAGGGAGGCAGACCAGAGGGCTTCACATTCACCCCTTTATTGTGTTTACTAGAGGCCCGGTGCACAAAAATTTGTGCACTGGGGGGGGGGGGTTCCCTCAGCCTGGCCTGTGCCCTCTTGCAGTCTGGGCCCCTCGGGGGATGACCACCTGCTGGCTTAGGTCTGCTCCCCGGGGGATTGGGCCTAAGCTGGCAATCAGACATCCCTCTGGCAGCCCGGCAGCCCTCGGGGGATGTCCACTTGCCAGTGGGGAGCAGACCTGAGCTGCAGTCAGACATCCTTAGCGCTGCTGAGGAGGCAGGAGAGGCTCCCACCACCACCGCTGTACTGGCAGCCGTCAGCTTGGCTTGTGGCTGAGCAGAGTTCCCCATGTGAGAGCGCCCTGACCACCAGAGGGCAGCTCCTGCATTGAGCGTCTGCCCCCTTGTGGTTAGTGTGTGTCATAGTGACCAGTCATTCCCAGTCTTTCTGCTGTTAGGGTCAGTTTGCATATTACCCTTTTACTAGATAGGATAGAGGCCTGGTGCATGGGTGGGGGCCGGCTGGTTTGCCCTGAAGGGTGTCCCAGATCAGGGTGGGGGTCCCGCTTGGGTGCCTGGCCAGCCTGGGTGAGGGGCTGATGGCTGTTTGCAGCTGGTCACACCTCCTTCAGGGTGGGGGTCCCCACTGGGGTGCCTGGCCAGCCTGGGTGAGGGGCTGAGGGCCGTTTTCAGGCTGGCTGGTGACTGAAGCTCCCAGCCTCTCCTTTTTTTCTTTTTTTTAATTCTGGGATTTATTTACCTTTTATAATTGAAACTTTGTTGCCGTTCTGCTTGCTCCAGCTCTGAGGCCACAGCCTGCTGAAAGCAGGTATCTGGGGTTTGTTTAGCTTCTATAATGGAAACTTTGTTCCTTTCGGAGCTGTTGCTTTCAGAGCTCAGAGCCAGGCCACAGCAGGCGGGGAAACTTGGCTTCCTCCATCACTGGAGCAAGCAAGGCTTCTGCTCGCTTCAGCTGTGTGGCTGCCGGCCGCCATCTTGGTTGGTGGTTAATTTGCATATTGCCCTGATTAGCCAATGGGAAGCATAGTGAAGGTATGGTTAATTACCCTTTTTGTCTTTTATTAGATAGGATGGGATGGTCAACAGTTAGTGGGGCTTTGGGGAGAAATGCTTTTTCTACCCACAGCTGTGGATCTGGGGCTCTGCTCAGCCCCGTGCACACACCATTCTGCTCAGCCCCATGCACACATCACTCTCTACTGCAGGAGAAACTGCAGGACCTCCCAACATTCCCAAGCCCCCTTTCCAGCTTCATTTTGTTGTTGTTAATCCTCACCCGAGGATATATTTCTCCATTGATTTTCAGAGAGAGTGGAAGGGAGGGGGAGAGACAGAGAGAAACATCAATGTGAGAGACACATTGACTGGTTGCCTCCTGCACATGCCTGACCAGGACTGAGGATTGAACCTGCAACGGAGGTATGTGCCCTTGACCAGAATCAAACCCAACACCCTTCAGTCTGCAGGCCTACCCACAGCTGTGGGTCTGGAGCTCTGTTCAGCCCGTGCACACACCACTCTCTACCCACAGCTGTGAGTCTGGGGCTCTGTTCAGCCCGTGCACACGCCACTTTCTCAGAGAGCCTTGTCTCCCGACTGGTGCCAGTGGTGCTATCTGTGGTGGAAGGGCACCACCTGGGGAGCTTTGGGAAGCGACTAAGTTGAGGGCCTGCCCTAAACTCACTGAACCTGGACCTTCCAGGTCTTGGCCCCACATCTGCTTCTAACAACCCTGAGGTGTGTGCTTCTCTGTCAGGTCAGTACTGCTCTGGGCACCACTGGGTAAAGGCGTAGGCCACTGCTGAACACACACCTTCTGTGGTGAGGGTGTAACTGGAGGCGGGCTCAGCACGGAGGTGAGAGGCAGAAGTGGGCAGGAATCATGAGGTCCCCAGTGAGGGCGCAGTGAGCTCTCCTAATCTAAACCAATGTGGGGGCCAGAGACTCAAAGGAGAAAAGAAAAGGAAAAGAGGCCTAGAAACGAGAAGGAAGCTACTAGCACAGATCAGTACCTCTGGACCCGCACCACAGCCGGGGCACTAAGGTTTGGCACCAGCACCTGACCCTTTAAAGCAGTGGTCACCAACCGGTGGTCCGCAGGCCACTGGTGGTCTGTGAGGTCCGAAAGGTTGCCGACCGCTGCTTGAAAGTGTTGGTTGACTTACTCTCTAAGACAATGCTTTAAGGAAGCTGTGCTGCTTACTGTGCATGTATATGTGCATGCATGTATGTATGTTTACACATATGTATATTCTTTTACTCCACAATACATTTTAGCAGATGCCAGATACCCAAGGAGTGTGCCTGGTTTGGAGGGCCCTACAGCGAGAAAGCAGCCCCCGCCTCTGCGATTTAAAGTCTAAAGAGGAAACAACTGTTAAGTAGCTGAACACACAGAAACACTAATTATAACTGTTAGGTTCTAAAAATGAGAAGAATAAGATGGAAAGAGTGACTGTCACAGGGGAATCTAGCCATAACCTGAGATGAGTAGAAGCTAACAAAGCAAACACTGGCAGGAAAAGACAGCTGCAGAGGGAACAGCATATGCAAAGGCTTTGACATGGTCCAAGGTTTGCTGGTTTAAGAACAGAAAAGAGGTTCAAGATACGTAAAAGTTAGTGTAGCTGACTTACCAGGAGAGGGGAAATATGACAACATGAGGCTGCTGAAGGAGTATTATATTTAAAAAATATGAAGGAGGCACAATCCTGTTGATATTAATTAATGCTATTATCTACTTGCTATCTTCATTAAAGCCATTATCATCCTAAAAAGTTCATCCAAGGCAGCAGAAATTATTTTACATAAATTGGTGTTAATACTAATCTCATGACAATATCAGCTAGAAGGGAAATTTCTTTCTTATGAAAATGATAATGGAGGAATCAAAATTATAGAAAATAATCATTCTACTTATCTATTTACATCTTTTTTAAAATGGAGAGAACAAATTTTATAGTCTTTTTAACAGTTCTGAACCACAAATGTTCCTCAACTCTACCGAATATGATGCTCGCCTTATTTAAAAAAACAAAACACACTAAACAAACAAACCCGAAAACCTTTTCTATCATTTAAGAGTAATGAGGCCTGAAGTAGCAAGATTCTGGAGCTTTCAATTTTCAAAAGTGAACCTCTGCAGGGGGCTTAAACTTTCTGTGAATGCAAACAAATGAGACCCAACAAAATGTTGTAAAATGTGGGTAAATGCCAAAACCGAAGCCAGAATCAGAGACGAGAATTTAAAACAACATGTCCAACCATTTTACAGTTGCAGAAAAATTTTAGTTAAAACCAAATATGGCTGACTAGGATCTTGAAATATCTAATGCCGAGTTTTCAAGTTATTTTACACAATTGTTAAACATCTGTGGTCTCTAAATCCCAGTGGTTCGAGACCCTGGGACGGTTTTGCCCCTCCTCCCCCCGCCCCAGCGGGGACACCTTTGGTTGCCACAAAAGGAGGCTGCTATGGCATCTAGTGGGTGAGGCCAGGGAAGCTGCCCATACCCTACAAGGCACAGCTTGGCCCACAGCACAGAGGGGTCTGTGCTGAGGCTGAGGAAACCTGGTTTAATCCTTGATGACAAGTAGTGGTCACTTTCAGAACATCACAAAGAGCTGAAGGAATTCACACAACAATGTTTTTAATATTTTTGACACTTCTGATCACTGATGCATTTAGAATTTTAATCATCATGGTTTTTACGATCAAAGGAATGAGTTGGGAGTTGCAAGATTCCACTTCTTAAAGTACCTTTTAAAATATCAGGTTTTTGAGCTAAAACAATGGTGCAATTATATAAAGCCTTACCCTGAAGGGGAGGGTCCCTGGCCGGCTCTGGGTTGCTTGGGGGGTGGCTGGGAATAGCAGGAGGCACGAGCGATGACCGGTCTTCTGTCCATTCTGCAAGAGAGAGAACCAATAGCTCACTTAGGATTCACCTTCTTAATGTAAAGTTGCCCAAACCAATAAAACCAGGGGCCAAGACGTAAAAAAAAAAAAAAAAGGCATTTGATCCCACTCTCTATTAATAATACCAAGATATCTCTCTCTGTCTCTCTTTCCGGATAGAAATATCGTGGTATGACCAATAAATCCCCAGTTCTCTCTGGCTGGAGAGTCCAAAGTGAGACCAAGCAAAACACATCAGGAAAGACACAAAACGAAGTGAACTCAGCCCAATGCGACAGAGACATGGGCGGGCTGCTCAGCCAGCTTGTCTCAGGGAGGAAAGGGGTTTCAGCAGTTGGCTGAGAGGCTATCTCTTGTCATCTCTGAACTTGAAATACTCCTGGGTCCTAACTATAGTCCTATCGCCCCTGGAGGCCCAGGAATAACGCAGTGAGTGACCCCTGACATTCCCCTAGAGTCCTTCCAGCTCTGCTCTCTTACTTAAGTGCGCACTCCCATTCCCCAAGCTCCACCAACACTACCAAGCTTCCCCCCTCAGGGAAAATGTTAAAAAAGGTTATTTTTAAATAGAAAAGAAATTAAGGTAGAAAGGAGAACTTTTCAGTAGGTGATCTCTCTCCCTCTCTCTCTCTCTCTCTCTCTCTCTCTCTCTCTCTCTCTCATACAGTCTATGGAAGTGGTTAGCAAATTATGGCCAAAAAGCCAAATTGGGCCCAGTGCCTGTTATTATACAACTTGTGAGTCAAAAATGGCTTTTACACATTTAAATGGTTGAAACAAACTCCTTTAATAAGTGCCATGAGTTGGGCCCTGCTTTCGTTTATATTTTATGGAGAAGAAGATTTCATGACATGAAAATTACCTGACGTTTAAATTTCAGCCCACCTGTAATGTTGCGTGGGAACAGGCACGCCCACTGTTCACATGTTGATAGCTGTTTCACACAGCTCCAGACAGTGTGTGTGGTTATAGTAGAGTGCATGAACCACCAAGCCCACAAAATTTACCATATGCCCATTTTTAGAACAAGTTTGCCAGTTTCCATTCTATGATCTATATTTACTACATACAGTGTTATAATAAGAGAAGTGTTATATTTGACATTCATATATTTGATATTCACATGTTACACTGAGGGTGCATTAAAGTCTATTATTTTAAGAGTGTAATGAAAAACTGGGAAAAGCCTAAGCATCTACTAATAAGCAGGTGACTAAATGAAGCAGATATATTTATAAAATAGAATATAAAAATTAACGGGTTAGGAGTGAGCAGGGGAGAATTTAATGCTCCACACTGCTGAATTGTTCATATTTTTCCAAAGAGCATGAATTGACTTGTAATTTTAAAAACCTCTCAAGCCCTAGCTGACTTGGCTCAGTGGATAGAGCACCAGCCTGCAGACTGAAGGGTCCTGGGTTCGATTCCAGTCAAGGGCACATGCCCACGTTGCGGGCTCCATACCCAGTAAGGAGTGTGCAGGAGGCAGCCAGCCAATGATTCCTCTCATCATTGATGTTTCTCTCTCTCTCTCCCTCTTCCTTCCTCTCTGAAATAAATAAAAATATATTAATAAATAAATAAATAAATAAATAGCTCTCAAATCCTCAGCTCCAGGCTCAGGACAGCTCCTTTCTAAATTTTAAGTGCAATCGGTGCCTCGGAATCGGGCCCTCCTCCTGGTTCCAGGGCAGGGAGCTCTGGCAACTCGGTATTGCTCCCAGGACATCAAGTCCTCGGGCGCAGGACTGGGTCACCAGGCCAGTCCTGACCACACGGGTGTGTTGGCACCCAGGCTCTGCCCTGTGCTCCTGGACCACACACAGAAAGCCAAACTTCGGACGGAGGCTGCGGCTGCGGCTGCGGTGGCGGCTGCTCCAGCTGCTTCTTCCGTTTGGCTTCTAGAACTGGGTTCTCATACTGTGTCTTCCTGTTGATGTGGCTGGAGCGGAAGCAGAGAGCACCCGGTTAGGAAACGTCTCATCCCACAAGCAAATGCCAGTCGGGCCAAGTCCCGGGATTAGAACCGAGCAGACAGGTGCCCGAGGCGCGGAGCATCTCGTGTCACGTGCAGGTCGACGGAGGGAGGAAAACGGGCTCCGTGTGACTGCTGTACGCACCCCGCCTCGTGCGGTGAGATTTACGGGCATTGTATCTTAAAATCTTCCACCAACGCCAGGAGGTAGGCCCTGTTTCCATTTATATTTTAGGGACTAAAAACAGTGAATGTCTGAGCAGTTAAGCAACAACTCGCCTAACATAACTTAGCTAGTGAACAGTGCAGAGGCTGCTTCCAAACCTCAGACTCTCAAGTGTTCAGGGAATCACCTGCTGGGTGAACTGCTTTCATTCAACAAGAAATAGATTACAGAAGTATTAAGAAATGAGATTAAAATGGAGGTGTGACAATGTCTATAACATATAATGCCAAAACTGCCGTGTGGCTGTCCACGATAGAGTTCACCCCAATGATGAAGTTAAAAGGACTCTAACAACATCTGTCAATTATTTGCAACAACAGACATGGAGTCAGGATTAAAAGTATAGGCCAAAATGCACAAGTCAGAGAGACTCCCCAGGCAGCTAACCTAAGCCAATGGGTTGTGTTCAAAGTGACAAAGACCCAGGATGATCCCAAAACTAATAAGGCCATGGCAAAACACACATACCTACACATATACATACATACATACATATGAATACACAGGTGTTTTTTGCCATGGTCTTATTTAGTATCTGCCTATGTACATACACACATGTTCTCTAAATACACAGAAGCATAAACATATTCAGATTTTTTCTTTCTTCATGAAAATCACACTTCCCTAGACGTTTGGGAACATATCGGTAATATGGTGATTTAGAATCAAAATTCTTTTTAAAGCCAGGATTTCTTTTCCAAAGGCAGGCTTGTCAAATAGGGTGGATAGACTAATTACCCTTGATTTTTATTGTAGGACTGCTTGTTTATTTCCTGATCCTTGTAGGCAATTTCATGCTAAGATAGAGTCTAACATTACCGGGCATTGGATTTAAGACACAAGGAGGGAAAGTGCACAGTGAGAAAACAAATAGCCGCTCAACCACGCCTCTGCATCAAGGCTGCGGTACCTGTTCCCTTTCATACACAAGTTCCTTGAGGGAGAACTCACAGTGAGCCCCACACAGGCAACCCCCACCGCACAGTGCGAGAAAGGTGATCTGCCGGCCACAAAGGAATTCTGTTTTATGAAGGTCAGAGATTTTCCTTTCTGATGCCCCAAGTCACCAATCCTCTTGATAGGAAAAGAGGTGGTGATAGGAGTAATGCCCAAGGACACTTGCTATATTGAACTCGGGATTTTTCACAGTAAGATGCTGAGCATTTTATGATCTGGCATTGTTGCCTCATGTTCTTATCACTGGGTTTTATACAAATGACCCACCTAGCTCCTAGCGGTAGCAGGAGGGACACAGCTCGCCAGGCAGGATTATGACAGAACATTTATATGGTGTTTGTTTCTTTCAAAGGATCTTTTATTAGCTATCTCTCGTCTTTCTCAGAGAAAATGACATAAAGCAGATTCATTCAATGTTTAATCACTTGGGTTTCCTTTACTTTCTTGGGTGTCATCCTAACTGATGGGTTTGACGGGAAGGCGAGTGCACGCCCACTGCTAGAGAATGGTGCACAGTAAAGCCGTCACGATGAGGGCGGGAGAGTCTTAGAAACGAAAACCAGGAGCCACGTGTATGGTCCTCAGGCCGGGGAGAGGCACAGAGGCACCAGGACCTTGCAGGTTAGGCTAGTTCTCAGTTTCCTTCTTAATCTTGGCAACATTTCATACATTATTAAGATGTGTCTGATCCTTTTAGAAAGTCTGAATGAATTATCAAGTAATTACTGAGCAGTTCAGACTTGGGCAGGGCAAAAAGTGGGCAAACAGGTCCTCCTCCTGAAGATGGCCCTCCTCACTTGGTCTAGTGAATGGTTGCTTGTCTGAGATTCATTCATTCATTCATTCATTCATTCATTCAAGTAATACTAAGTGCCTGCCCTACACCAGGACTGTCGAGACTTGGCAGTGTAGTGGCAAACAAAAGACACAGCATTGGCCCTCATGACTCTTATAATATAATTTGTTGTCTTCAGATTTGCTGAATATTTTCTCATTCATTAAAATAGATATATATTTTCACTATAAAATTATGTTATTATCATTTAGTTTATACCGTATAATGATGGCAAACTCTGTTCAGCATAAATGTACGTGATGACAGAGGGTACAAGCTATAGTGTGGATTAGTGGACACTTACTCTACATAGTAGATACCATAGACAGGGTCTTCAATCTTTTCCCAACCGGCAGGCAGTTCTGAAAAATAAAAGAACATTTAGAGAGAGAAGAGCATATTCTTAAAGAGCCTAGGGATTTTCAACAAGTTAGGCAAAAAGAAGTTCATAAAAGTACCTTAAGGCCAATTAAAACTGTGTATCCTAAAAGAAAAGCCAGTATTATTTTTATTTTATCAGTGCATTTTTTCTACATGAAGAACAATTATTTACTGGTATTTTGCACAAGCAAATGAAACGTAATAAAATGCAGTCCCAGGTGCCTTCATTCTAAACCAACTATTAAATTAGACTTTAATAAAAATGTAGTTAAAATTTGCCCAGTTCCTATCTTAAATATTTATAGTTTTCTCATTTTATTTCTAGACTACCTAACACGAAAGCAAAATTAGATAAAAATGTGTTACTTTTCATGCTCTTTTCATCGTGCTGTTTTTCACTTCCTGGAATAAGGTAAGATGTACATCTTATTTTCTCCTCCTTCCTAATAAAAAGGCTACCAAACAAACATGCCCACAGTGAGCTGTGTTTCTGAAATGCATGCGCCCATCCCTCACCACTCTACCTGGACCGGCCTATTTCACCAGCAGTTTGCCTACGAAAGCAGAAACACAGGTCTCACTACCCTACATTTCCTTCAAATGTGGTGGTAAATGGCATCGGGGGGCCCACACACAGGGGTGGGCAAAAGTAGGCCTACAAGTTGTTCGCATGGAGAAGGACACGCAGGTTATGGCTATTACTATGGCTTCATTAAGTCAAAAGAAGGTCACCTGCAGCCGTGAACCCACTTTGCCATCCCTGTGGGTGTGCCTTTCTGAAAATTCGACGGTGCTCTCCTGGACTTGACTTTGTAAGGTTCAGATCAAAGGCTGGCACTTTACTAACGAGGTCACAGTGAGGGCTGTTACACCAATCGAGTGCGAGAAAGCCCACTGCACCAGAGAAGCTGACGTGGTGAAAAAAGCGACTAAGGTTGTGTTCTGTGTCATTAAACAAAGTCTAGTTGGAGAACAGTTACTCGGCTTAATTTGAAAGCCACCTGATACATACATGGGTACACAGCTGAGGCAAGCTTGTATAACACAGGGCTCCAAAGCGAGTCATCATTCCTAGAAGTAGCCATTAAATAAACCCACTTAAGTGGAATTTACAAACACTGAATATATTTTGAAATGCTAGATTTTTAAAAATTCATGCTCTCACGTGACCATTATTTTTAAATAGTGACCGTTTCATCAGGGCTTACATATGCCACCAACGGTTCCATGCTGAAGTGGGGTCCTGAGCGTGCACTCAGACACGCAGGTTAATTGCTTCAAGTTCACGTCTTCCTCAAATTTGGCTGCACATCAAGACACATTAATTTCATGGTTTCTGCTCCACAGTGTGTTTGCAAACAAAAAGACAAGGTTCCCCCCTCCCTGGCCCCTTTCTTCTAATTTAAAAACACACACACACTGAGCAGGTTTTAAAGAAGTCTTTGAATTTCTTTAAAAAATTCAAAGATGTAAGCCACTAAAAGGCTAGACAGGTCCAATTTACAGATGTTGATAAAACTTGGCATTTTTTATATACGCAGAGTCTTGTGGACTAATGCAAATCACATGCTGGGGAAATGGTTTCCCTTACAACACTGGAAATTACCATTTAAATTAAAA